CTTACTCTCAAATTCGTTTATCTTCAATATCTATTTTTTTACGTTATCGATCAATCTAATAGAATGTTTCACTGCTTTAACAGAATAAAGACTTATAAATTAAAATAATAAATCTGACTTATATATTAATGAAAACTGAATACGAACTTATTAACTAAAACAGGAATACCGGATTTAACAGAAAAACTATAAGTGTCCTCGCCATTTTTCTTTATCTTTTTTAGAGACCTATTTCTACTTCCATTTCTTAGACCAGTTACTTCGTTACACAACTAATCAGTTTTTAGGATATGAAACATAGTTCCTTATTGGGTAGGAACATCCAGGATGTTAATGTTATATGAGCCTTTTCTAAACTTTTAGGTGACAGTAAGGTGCGGGTCTGGAAAATACTTATCATTTTGTTTTTTAGTTTTAGTAATAATATATAATTCTACAAATATAAAATAATTCTTAAAATAAATAATTCTTTGAATTCATGGCCACAGTCTTCGACGAGGAAAACATCGAGCGTAGCAGGAAAAAAAAAGAATAAACAGTCTATGACGTAAAACAAGAAAAGAAAGCATTCATAATATAAAATAGACTATTTAATACGACAAATAAGTAGTGCAAGTTGTCTAGGATTCTTAGAGAGATGATAAATTTTCGTCAGAGCGGGATTAGCAGTCAGAATCTGAAAATTTACAAGGTTAATAATCTCATTACGTGTTACTTACAATTAGTCATATTTATATGTGAATTGTCACAATTTTTACCACGTTTAGTTCGGTTTTTGAGACTATCTACAATTTTAGAAATAAGATGAGTAGTATTGGTACAGAGAAGTTATTTAAAACTGTCTCGTAATATTATTTACCTCCGTATATGTATATGATGCAGGGAGATGATAAAACTAGAGATTTGATTAAATTCCTTAAATAGATGGTCAATTCACGGAAAATATTAAAATAATAATTCTATGGAGTAATTTCCCCAAACGAAAGTATGTGATTTAATCAAATTCCTTAACTGTTTTATAGTGAAAAGATGAAATAATATTGCTTAGATATTAAAAATATTTATCTAATAAACCATGCTGTTGCGTATCCTGCGCAACGAGTGAGTAGGGCGAGCGCCGGGGCGTGTACGGCCCTGCCGAGGCGTGAGACACGCGCGACAAGAAAGTATCTTTGTGTGGTGGTAACCACGGGAGCGCCAAGATCTTTGTAAGGGCTTCTTCTTTCTTCTACCTTGCGCTCTCCCACCACATTTATTACGCCAATCATATGTATCGACAGCCGCGTTATCATCGGGCTTTTCGGTGATTGGTCCAGCATTGCATCGTTTTTCCCTATAAAGCCTGACGCGTTCTCGCGCTTAACGTCATTCATCATTCATTACTCGTCATTCGTAATTTGGGCACTCGTTATTCGACATTCATCCTTCTGACTTTGGAAAGCTGATACTTGCGAGAACCACTACGAGGAAAATTATTGTATTGCGCAATACTACATCATCTAAGTTCGGCCAGCGACAAAGGACAAAGGCGGTCCTGCACGTAGCCAGAGTTGTTCTGCTTTTGTACGGATCATCTTTATACATTTCAACCAGGGTTTTTATGCCGAAAGGCTTTTCCCTGACGAACCAAATAAAGCGTACTTTTTAGTACTCGCTGGGCTCAAATATATTGAGTTTATTTGTGTTTTATTTTCCTATCCTCCTTCCTATTAATAAACAATCTCGATTTCACACGTGAGGGCATTTTCGATTCACGATATAAACCACTGGAGTACCGATTGAGGTGTCGGTCGCAACACATGCATTATTAAACGCAGATCAGGTAATATAACGATAGTCATTGAAACACAAATTATTAATTCGAAACTAATTAACAAGAGTAATAGGTACTAAAGCTGATATTTTGAAAAACAACAAAAATATTTTTAGTGAAATTTTAAGCATTTTTAGTGAATGTAATTAATAATTTCATTCATTCTTATTAAAACACGTTGTTGATTTTTGGCTTCTCATAGAGCTGTGCGAGTACTGACTTGTTTATTTCATCTTTTTACTAAAATAACTAAGAAATTTGATTAAATCACTTATTTTCTTCGGGATAATCACCCCATAGAGTTGTTATTTTAACATCTTCCGTGAATTGATCATCTACTTTACAGATTTGATCAAATCTCCATTTTCATCATTTTTCTACGAAATATTTACGTATATGTATACGTATATAGATTGTTATTCCAAAATCCAAAAAGATTGCACGACAGTTTCAGGGGCTATCTGAATATATCTTGCATAGAAATAACTGTTAAGAATACATAAATCGCTTGTCGAGGTTGTTTCAGATGAAGAGACGCTACTATACCTGGTGCCCGTAATAAATGGTAGGGAAAATGTGATTCCTTCGTTACCGACAGACGGCAATCAAAATGATGATTCGGAAAGAGTAGCATAAAAAAATTAGCATAGAGTTGCAACAGTAGAAAAAATGAATAAGTGCTCTTAATTGCTCACTAATGGCACACTTAAAATCCATATTATTCTTCACTTATTAATTTATTATTTAATTAGTTATTAATAATTGAAAATACAAAAATGTTTTTTTTTATTTCTAAGCAAAATCATGATGTTTTCTATTGTTTTTTGGTTTCAATCAATTGCTCACTTTTTATTTGTCCGGCTCCTCAACTTTATTTTATTAAATATTTTTTATTTATTGTTAATTAGTTGAAAATAATTATTACAGTTTAAATAATTATGAAATTTGACGTCATGAGTGGGAGATATGTTATACGCATGCGCATCAACAAATTCAAGACAAAAGCGCACTTTGAAAAAAATGAGAGTAAATTTGGTATATACCTGCAGGGGATATATTTACAAGTGATTTCCAAAGTAACAATTTATAAGGTAGTGAAAAGATATAGGTTAATCGTTCATAATGTATAAACAATAGGTTAATATTTTGCAAATCATAATTTTCGTCCACGCTCAGCCGTTCTGAAAAGTTTGGGTAGGCAACTAAGTAATAGCTGATTTTGTCGATAGATGGTTTTTATACTTTAGTTTGTTGCGTTAACGTATTCAAAGCCCCTTACATATATTTGATTCATATTGTTTAGACTTCTACCTTTATTTTAGTAAGAAAATTATAACAATTAATTCTTTAGTTTTTTGTGTTTATCTCAATTTAAAAATGGAAAAACAAGATGTGCACTTTAGACATATTTTATTGTATTATTTCCGAAAAGGCAAGAACGCATCGCAAGCACAAAAGAAGTTATGTGCCGTATATGAGAATATCCTGATACTAAAATTAAATTTACCGATATTATAATAAAATAATAAAACTATTGTATAATTACGCTTACATTATTAAGCGCCTGGCGATAGGCAATACGTTCGTACATTCGTGTAATAAGTGACAATCGTCTAAAAATCGAAGCTTTTAGAAGAAATTATCGAGAACTACCTGGTAATGATACATTCGATACATTTTTTCAAAGTTCATGGAAATTTCATGAATATCTATGATTGCTCCATTTGTAAAACACAGTCTTGTTGCTGCCCACTTAAGGGGGAAATACAGTAAGAGACGTAAGAAAAGAAGAATTATGAATAATTTCTTTTTTGTAATAATTAAATTTGTTTTATTAAACTGATTACACAGAGTTTTTAAATTATATTTCAACTTGACTTCTACAAAATATAAAAAAATATAATAATTATTTATAAAAATATCGCAATCTTTTTGGTAGACACCGTTTTGCAAGTAATGCTTTGTGGTTACTATTAGAACATCTTACCGGATCATCCAGAAAAAAACAAAAAAAATATAAATTATTAGTCTAATACAAAATTCTGTCCTTCCTATCGAAGTTTTATATTTATTTTTTAAATTACTAAAATGGCAGCTTTTGACATTTTTTTCGATTTTCGACACAAAAAATCATGAGTCTTTTGTTAAAAAATATTGTTAAAAAATCAAAATGGTCCACATAAACGAAAATCCTTCGAGGAAGGACTAGTTTTTAGTGCTATTATTAAGCAGTAGAAATTTCATCAAAATCCATCGAGTGATTATTCAATTATAGTAGTCACCGACTTGGCAAACATACTTTCGACAAAAACGCATTTAAAGTTTTTTTATTTGGATACAGTATTATATTTTCGTAAGATTTTGAGTTTGATGGATGAAGCTAAACTTTTGTTATGTATTTTGATCAGCTGAATTCTAATATCACAATTTTTTTTGCCGAAAAGTCGAGCATTTAATTTTTTATAGCCAATTGTTTGCACAATTTTTCAAAAAATTCTAGTTTTTCGGGATGAATTAATTTTCTTTTATAAAGAAATTTTATAAGGAAATATTTTAGACAATTTTAAAACGAAAGTATTCTTTACGAAATAAAAAGTTTCTCTATGGTCTGCATTATATCTCTAGTAAATGTCAATCGATTTGCAAAATTTTAAAATATTCTTATAAAATAATGCAATCGTTATAGTCAGTCAAATCGGAATTTTGAATTTCGGAGAATTCAGCAATTTATGATAGTTTAAAAAAAAAATGTGTTTATTATTTTTATGAAATTTTTAAGTCAAAATATTAAACATACGAATTGAAAAAACTATAGAGAAAACGATTTCGAATATTTAAAATAAAATCGCATTAGAAAATATTGAAAATTGTATGAGTTATCACGCAGATTGTGGCGAAAAAAGTAGTTTCGAGAAAAACGCGTTTAAAGTTTTAAGTGTTTCAGACAAAGGACAGCTGTCTGCGCGCACCAAACTCTCGTTGGACAGTCACATTTTTTACCATAACTTTGAATCTTTGAGGAATTTTTGCAATCGATTTTCACAGAAATAAGCCAATAACTATAGAGAACAACAATCTGATTAAATACCAAATCGATTTTTTTTTAATTCTGGACGTATGTGTAAGGCCTTAATAGTTATTTGTCTTAATATTATTAGAATTGGGATATTATTAATCAATAATAAAGTTTTATTATCTCTTATAAAAGTATATTTATTTTTTCTAAGAAATATTGCTGTCCCAGATTAAATGTTTAACCGAATCATATATAAATCAATGTCGAACTTACACTGTGTTTTCATTTTGTTATATGCTTGTTTTTCTTATAATTTAAACAAAAAAAAATTAATATAAAGAATTACATCACAAAATAAATACAAATAATCTGTCAGGCAAGTAAAACTTTTCCACTTATGGAGAAATTTCTAATATAAGAATAAAAGTAATTAGTTATCATTCTGAAAGTTATGCATTAGTATTATGGTTTCAGAAGTCTTAAAAGAAATATAAATTCAATGATTAATAAGTAAAAATCTAGCGATAAAAAACATTTCGTTCGTTGTTCTGAAGTAAATAAAATATCGATGTTTGTATATTGTATGAAAACTTGGAGAATAGATGTCAAAATACGCGTTGTAAATATTCTAAAATCTTTAGACAAAGTTTCCAACGAAATAAACAGCTTTAAAATCTATAAACTGCTCGTTATATAGTTCGACAAGCTACACATATTAATAAGTATCAATCGTATGTTATTACCATAAATGCTGTTTTGTCGAAAAGATTCAACTTATTTATTATTCTTGTATAAGGTTCTGAAATAATTATAAAAGAAAAATAATTGATTTCGCTGACACATTTTAAAATAAAATATTTTGTTATAGTTAAGAACATTGTACCAACCACTATCAATCCCTCCAAATGCACCAATACCAGAATACTCAACTAAAGGCACTCCAGGAAATATTTGTTTAAATGTAGTTGATTCTAAGCAAGACAAATAACTACGAAAGTGAGGATTGAACATGAACCCTATCGAATGTTTTTTCAACGTTATTCTATCTTTAAAGGATTTCAATTTTCTTTCGATTTTTTTCTGAGTATTACAGTTGCAATACAAAAATGTAGACCAGGTATTTAATCCTTCACCGCTTATTAAAACAGCAATGCAGAACATGGTTTCATTTGATACAGAAGTATGTGGCATATGATGACAAATCGATAAATAATCTACTATTCCACCCCACACAGGAAGTCTTTTATTTGGATACCTATATAAAAGGATAGATTCAAAATATTAACAAAAATAAAAATAAATAATAAATAAATCAAAAAAGAACTATATATATATCAAATATTTTATTTATTACCAACTGCGCAAAGCGTTCTCAAGATTACTAGTTATTAAAGCACCATTACGATCGCACAATAATATCAAACAACTTTTCCGATCAACCGTACGTTGATCGAAATTATAAACAGATTCGAATACCGTTTTCAATCGGTCTGCATTCGTAAAAGAAAGATTAAAATTAGCTTTTATTTCATGGCAATATATTCCATTGCCCCAAATAAGTTTATATGGTACAAAAGTAAGCGTAGTGATTTTGATGTTAGGTACTTCGGGAAAAAACATCCATAAAACGGTATTTTTTTCTGTTCTCGGTAAATAACTACCCACTACCGGTGAGTACCAATTAAAAGGCAGGTATTTGCAGTAACATTCTTTAAAAAATCAAAATATCTCACATAACAATATTCTATTAATTGTTATATACATAATATTTAACTTACTTCCTGCAATATCTTCTTTACTTTCAATTTTAATGAATAACATGCTTAAAGAAGGTTTAACTTTGCAACATTTTATGATTTCTTTTTGTATAACTTCATAATCAATGGAATCTGATTTTCTATCTTTGCTTTTTATAATGCACATTGGACCCCTTGTTTGTTTTTCATCGTTTGCTATTTCCGACCAAGATCTGCTGTTAGAAAAAAAAGTGTTAATATGTGAACAAACTTAAATCACGTAAATATTAGACGATTTTAATACGATACCAAAATAATTATATTAATTATTTAATATATTCTTTTATACAAAAATGATCAAAAAAATTAAAAATACTTGTTGCAATATTACCTAGAAACTTTAGAAGCATTATGCAAATCAAATCCATTCAAATATTGAAAAATAATACGCAAGACATAGTAGTTCAAGTCCATCCCTATATTTCAAATAATATCTAGTATCAAAAATATAATATTCTCAATCAACTAATTTATATTACGTATGTCAGACAAAACTTAAACGCTTAAAAATCCATTCGTTAAAAATCTATAAAAGAAGTTTACAAAACGAATACTCATTATTAAGTAACAATTTTGATATTTAGACTAATAGGAACAATCAATTTACAGTATTTCTATGTAATCATGAAAAGTAATACACAGTAAAAAGTTTCTTTCGAAGACACATGTTTATAAAATCGTATTTTAATAAGGTTCTCGTTATAACGTAAAACGGAAGGAAGAAAAAACTTTCGAAATACAATCTTTATTCTTTTTAATCATACAATCTACTTTTCCCGTCAATATCTGGAAAATTTAATAATAGCACTTCTTTCTCACGCAGAACATTTTATAGATCATTTTACTGCTGATATTTAATCAGCCCTTATGTGATAGAGAACAGTATGTTCATATTTAATTTTAATACTTCTTAATTAAAATGACAAAATGTTATGTTCAATATCATGCAAACAGAAAATATCTTTATCATAAAATATAATGATCTGACATGAGAATTGATTTTAAGAGGGATTCCAAAGATAAGATGGAAAGCTTACTTACTTTACTTATCCCGACTTTTGAGTATCTCGAAATCAGTAGAGTTTTATCAATTTTCAATGCACAAACTTATGTTTCATAGTCAAACGTGAATAAAATAAAACATTAAATACTTCAAAACTATTGCCTTATCACTTTATTGTATCATGTTTCGACGTTTTTCGTTCTATTATTTACTTAGGCATTAAATCGATAGATGAATTCTTTTCTGTTAGAAAGAAAAAAGATTGAATTTAAATTATGTTTATAGCAAGAATTAAGTAGCGGTTAACCGTTCCAATTAATTAGACCCCGTAATGACAATCATCTCATCAGACAATGATACGAAATAACTTATGCAAAATATATAAAAAGAAAATTCTAGTTAACTGACTGTTGTTAACTGCTTTCGTAACTGTTATTTTACTTGTACTATTTTACATTATGGTGTTCACTTCGATAAGCACAAACATAACAACGATAGATTAATTTCTTTTCATATATTGTAAACTATTTAAAGTAGAGGTATATATAGATCTGTATATATGTATACATATATACTTGACAAACATAAATATACTTCATCGTATATAAACATGAAATATTTCTTAAGACAGTTATGTTTAATTTCACAAATGACCGTTGAAAATTATTATTAATCCTTCCCGCGTTTATTGTCAGAAGAATTGCGTACATCATATTATTCCTAAGATATCAGTTCTATTGAAATGTAGATAATAGAAAAGTAAAATCGCACGAAGAAAATGATTAATCAATAAAGTCATTTACAAGTATAATACATTTGTTTGATTTTTATTGTGACATGGAGTAAAATCTTCAACAGGAAACCTTTAAGCCATTTTTTTGAAGCGAAAACTTTTTTAAGCGCAAGTTATGATTGTATGTTCCTGTAGACGATAAAGTAATAGATGATAAGAAAAAGGTACAAATGATACACACAGTAACTTAAGTAAATGCATTGATTACAATGGTACACAGGCACAATTGTAATATAATTTTTTAAAATTATATTATATAAATATATATATTATTAGGGTGAATCAAAAAAAAACTTTTATTTTTTTTTTGGATCTGACAAACAAAAACTTGTTGCTAGGCACCTTTAGAAAGTACTCACCCAGTATRRGCTYTTAATWTYAATAGGAAGATCCTCCTCATCGCGGTTTTTTATTTTTTTCTCAGTCCAATAGAAAAAAATTCATATTTCCTCATTAATTGATTATACAAAAAAATGTTTTCATCTAATTTTGTAGGAAATTCAATGTTCTACAAAAAAGGTATCTTATGTTTTTTTCGTAAACCTCACTATTTAAAAGATATTGAAGATTTTAGTTTGATTATTTTAAGACAAATTTCATTTTTGTTTATGAATTTTGTTACTGACTGAGTAATAATTATTATCAAATGAGATGCACTGATTCTTGCAGGAAATTTAACGCTCTACAAAAAAAGTTTGGTATGTTTAATTGATTAAAAAAAAAAAAAAAAAAAAAAAAAAAAAGTAATAAAAACGTACGTATCATTCTCTTTTTCCAAAAGTAAAGCTTCTTTACATTCATGAAAAATGTTAAAAAAAGATTAAAAAAACTTTAATTGAATTAATATAAACTAAAATTCTCGTAAAAATTTCTAAAATTCATGAATTTAATAGATAAATTTGAAAAAGTTATTAAAAAATGATTGAAATCAGAAAGCATTGGGATTCGTATACGAATATCTTTTAAACGGTTGGAGTAATCAATTAAACATA